GTGATGTGAGCGCAGAGCAGCAGAGCAGCTTTCTGCTGGCAGAGGAATGTGGTGTTTATCTAACGCCCTGCTTTGTTCGCTCCTGATAACGTCACATGTTGGTCGACGCTGCAGACGAACCAAAACACGCTTTGTTTCTGCTCTTAGGTAACAGAATCTGGGCCGGAGCCGCGGCAGCAGCCCGCTTCTGGCACCACAGGTTGGGTTTCTGGCATCCAAAGTTCACCCAGCAGCGTTTTCACACAACGAAGCAGAACCAGGACCAGGACTGGAACCAGAAAGCTGCCATTCTGTACGTTCAGACGCCCACAGATGCGGCGAGCGAGCAGCTCGGCAGCCTTTGCAGTGATGAAAAGCTGCAGCAGACGTCCACGCTGAGGGGGAGGGCTGCCGGGAAGCAGAAAGTCACCTTCCTCCAGTGGTCAAGGAGGACGCGTGATGGAGGTGTGCAGCAGCAGCAGCAGGAGGCTCCAGTCCACCGCTTTCACACCCAAATAAATAACAGCGCCGACGAACGTTTACACACAATACAGCACAAAAATGACCAAAAATCAGCTTGAATCAGCCTCAAAATCTGCTGATCAGAGCTCCAGAGTCAACAAAACGTCCACAAACCACAGCTGGACGCGTCCACAGAGCAGCAGAGGGACTGTTAGCCAGAATAAAATCACTTCAACAGCAGGAAAAACCAACCAAAATGTCAAGGTTCTGTTGAGCAAACGTGTCAATAATCAACATCTATGGAATCAACATGATGCAGCTGCAGCCATGAATCAATAAGATGTCAACTATTTAACGGATCTACATCTATTCTGCTTATGAATTTATCCATTTGAGTCATTTTTGAAGATAAAATTCTGTGATGGGAGCTTCCTGAGTGTAAATTAAATGTGGATTCATTGATTAATTGGACACTAATGAACTATTTTCCAACAGTTTTGACCATCAATCATAAATCTGAGTCATTTTAAAGATTAAAAAGCAGCTTCTTGAATGTGAATATTCATTTTTTTCCCTCCTTTATGACAGTAAATTGAATATTTTTGGACACTGATGGACATTTTTTTTTACTTGATTAATGAAGAAAACAAATCCATCAGCAGTGACACCAGTCAGGCTGGATCTGGACCTCAGCGTGTTCTGGTCTATCTGCAGCCTGAGCAGCAGTCTGGAGCTCTGCTGGTGGATCCTCTGCAGGATCTGGTTGCAGTTGTCGCTGAATCCGTTCCTTCACCTGCAGCTTCTGCGGCCTGTTTTCAGCTCTGACGTGTCCGAACCGAACCTGCACTGGGAGGAAGCTGATTGGCTGAACCGCTGCAGCTGTTGAATCTGATTTATGTGTCCTCTTCAGTGGACAGAACAAAACCCTCAGAAGCAGCAGATGAAACCAGGAGACGTGTGTGTGTGTGTGTGTGTGTGTGTGTGTGTGTGTGTGTGTCGGACTCACTCTTGTCTGTTATCTTCAGCTTCTCCTCCAGATGATGGTCCAGCTCCTTATAATCCATTGTTTCCATTCAGGCGGATCCGGTTCCAGTTGCTGTCATTCCTCAGAGCCGCTCAGAGTCCCGGTTCAGAAACACGCCCTTTGTAAATCCAACCGGGAGGCGAGAAGCGGAAAAAAAAAAAACTGGTGACAAAAAAACAAACCGGCTCCGACTTTAGACAGCGGTGGGATTAAAAAGAAGAAGAAAAAGAAATAAAGAAAGAAAAAAGAGTAAAACGAGGAGAAAACGTCGTCAGAGTTTGATCTAATGACAGACTGGATCCTGCGCAGCTGCTCTGAGCGCTTCGCTGGAAAATCTCCGGAGTGAGAATGAGGCGCTGCAGTCGGAGCGAAGTCAAGCCGGACACGAGGATAAAGCACTTCCGGAAACACTCTTCAAAGTAAAACCAAATCTTCACTCAGTCTTTAAACACATAAAAATCAACACTCCCAAAGAATGTTAGGTTTGTCAAGCAAATCTATTAATAATTGACTCCTCTTGAATCAATATATTCAAGCTGCAACCATCAATTGATTAATTTTATTAAAAATGCTTTTTTTTTTTCTCATTGCAGGTTGTTGAACGTCAGTATTCTGACTTCCTTTCTCCTCTGTGACAGATAAGTGAATATTTCTGAACACTTGAGGATGTTTTCTTGGGTTCATGACATGTTTTACTCAATCAACAAGATGCATTTATTCGCCTTCGCCTTCATCTGCTGAAGAAGTCAGAGAAAATATAATTAAAAATGTGTTTAAATGTGTTTAATTTTAACGTCTTTAACAAACATTTAAGAACAGCAGCCTTGATATAAAATTACTATAATGAAAAATATGCAAACACATCACATTGCGACCGTGGGATCATGGGAGTTTTTATTTTAAACACTATGACTGATGAAAACTTATCTGACGTGACTCACGCACACGATCGTGCTCACAGATGAAGCCATCAATAAAGGTCTTTAGTCACATGTTTTCACATTCTGTGACTCCATGTCATGTCAGATCGTGTGATGCTCGTTGTTTGGAGTCTGTAAAGCAGATCAGCCTGGTTCTGGTTCTGACCTCCAGCAGGACAGAAAAGTCAGAAGACAGCAAGTTGTGACGAAAGACTGAAGCTGTTTGTCTTTAAAGTTTTTTGCTTGCTGCATATTTTTCGCTCATTTACAGGCACAGTGTTGTAGTTCAGTGTAAACAGACAATGATGCACAAGAATAAAGAGGAAAAAAAACTTAGATGAAAGTAAAATGATTGTTTTTTTTTTTTACACCCTCTTTGATAATTAATCTCAGCTGAGCTTTGATTTAATTCAAATTACTTACAAATGCTTAAAATACAGTTATTGCTGGAGCCTGTTTATGGTTAATTATCATCCATATAGAAATATTCATGAAAACATTTTGAATTAAACTGTTTGATTTCAGGTGTTCTAGATGGTCTCTGCAAAATGTTCATAAAGGATTTTACTCTGAAATCCGGACTACTCGGTTTCCGTCTCTCACTCCTGTAACTTGACGTCGCTGGTCGCAGTGAAAAACCGCATGCCGGACAGAAGGACCGAACCAACCGAGTCCACCGCCGAGAAACTCGTTTATCCGCCAAACAGCAGAACAAACACTCGACATAAGTCACAGATGAGACGTGAGACGTCACGTTTGATCCGCTGCACGGTTCGTTTCTTCGGTTTTATCCCCGGAAACACAACACTGGGACGTGTTTAAGTGTTGGGCTGAGAATGGTTCGGTCCATCAGATGATTTCCAGCAGCTGAAGGCAGCCTGAGGCGAGCTGAGCTGTCAGAACACAGAACTGGACTCACTGAAGCTGTAATTACAGCAATTAGGCTTTAATTGACACTCTGGAACAAGACGAGGCGTTTTAATGTCTACATGTTATAATGAAATCAGAAACAGGCAGGATTCAGGCTGGAATGACTGAAAAATACCAAAAAACAACGTCTAAAGTTTATCAAATAAACATTAAACTGACGTGATGTGATCATGAGCATTGAGCTCCAGATGTTGCTCTCTGATGGAATAAACGCTGACAGTGAATGAGCTGATGAACAGTTAATGTGACGTCCATCACTGGAGGAAAAACTCTGAGAAACAAACTTATTTGTTATTTAATCCTGGAAATATTTAATAGTTAGTAGAAATTTAGAAAAAGTGGAGCCAGAGGAGCAAAGACGTCTGCAGGAGGATTTTTTTTAATTTAATTTAATTTTTTTAAAGATGCATTTTACATATAAACTGATCATTTTAAAGGAAATTTTGAAACATTTTTTAATTATAATTTTTAAAATGTAAATTATTGTTATTTCACAGATTTTTCCCTCTTTTGTTAAATTACAGATAAATAATCGTAAAATCACAGAAAAATAATCTACATGTTAAACTTTAAAAAAAAAAAAAGGCACAAACTGTAAATAATCTAAAAAAAATTGTAATCAGTTATTTTACAACTGTATTTAAATCAGCAAAAAATATGATAATTTTACAGATATTTGTTTAGGTTGCTTTTACAGATTTTTTTTTACAGCGTTGCCAGATCAGAATCACAGCTGTTCGACTTATTTTTGACATTTTAAATAAAGAAATTCAGATTAATTATGGATAAAGTTGTGACACTTTGGTCTTGAGGCTGCAGGACGTCGACCTGAGTGAGAATCTGTGTTTTCCTCAAACCTAAATGAGGCTGTTTTTAGAGACAATTTAACATGAAGTCGCACTAAAATGCTAAAAGGCCAAATGTATGCAGGCCGTAAGATAAAACATTCATGACCCATTTACGGAGACGCTCTGGACTCACAGCATCCGAATCCTTTCAGACGCTTTTATTCTCCGCTTTTGGCCTGAAATTAAAGTTTCTCAACGTGACTTCTGGGAAAACAATGAAACCTTGGTTATAATTACAGTGAAGCAGATTATTGCTGCTCCTGATATGAAGAACTCATTAAAACGTGACCCGTGAGGCTAAAAATAGCTGAAAGTCTGATCAATGCTGATGGAGCTGCTGCTGATGAGTCGGTTAACAGGAGACCTGCTGCTGCTGCTGCTGCATGTGATCCATGAATCATGTTTCTGATGCAAACTTTAGTGAACTCGTGCTGAATGTTGTGAATGCTGGATGCTTGGTCACATCAGGTAGTTGTTAGTGTCATCTGGATTTATTAAGTGTACAACAGGTTCCCTTTAAACTATTGTACAGCTGTAAATAAAATAAAATAAAATAAAATAAAATTGAATTAAATTAAATTAAATTGAGAAAAATTAAGTAAAAAATAAATTAAATTAAATTAAATTGAGTAAAATAAAACAAGATAAAATAAAATTAACCTAAACTAAACAAAATTAAGTAAAAACAAAATTTAATTTAATTTAATTTAACTAAATTGATGAGAATAAATAAT